ATAAAGAGCCCATCGATTCTGTAAGTATTTACTAATCATTTGCTAGCACTCAAAGCAGCCTGGACTTCTCTCCATTGTCCCCACAGATGAGAATGGCTCAAAGCATTGTTGTTCCTCTTCGTAAACGAGATCATGAAATATTGTGAAGCAATGAATGGCAAGTCTCTAACCACCTGGGCGAGGTCCACAATTTTGTACTAGTGTAGGGACCAATTCTAGGCACACCATCCCCGGTATGGTGTAGTACCAACTAAAATAGTATCCTACGCCATGCAATAAACAACTGGTTTGTCCCGCAACCGTAGTTCTATACTTTGGAGCTCACTTGTTCGTGTTGAAATATCCGATTGAGCAACAAAATCACTTCCAAACTTGCTCAAACATAAGTGCATCGCTGGCATTATTATCTAAGTTTGCGCAAAAATACGCTGGCTAAATTTCTGCGGATCATAGCGAGGCGTAGTGTCTTTGTGCTTTCGAGTTAGGGCTTCAAGCTACTCACCAATTCGCGCATCAGTGAACTTTCTTGACTTCGTTTCCGTCAGCGTCTAAAACTTGCATGTATTAATTTGATGTTCAGACCATGCTATTCGACATGCTGGGACAAAAATTAAAGGAACTAATAGCATCATTATATTTGCTCCGGGCAAATCTTGTAACAACAAACTATTCGCTACAAAATACAAATAAGTACTGCACCACGCATGTGTACATAAAAAGCGGTCCTTTGTTGCCATGGAGTCCGACTATAAGTAAGAATCTTCCAAATCAGCAACCCATTTAACTAAGGACGTCGTCAAATTGTTTAAACTTCAATCGCACTAAAATGCGTCCCTGACGTGCTTATATCGATCGCTTTTACTGTGTTGTTGCGCACTTTCGCTTTAGGCCGCCCAGCAGAACTGTCTCATTTAGATGGATATCATATCAGTGAAGCCAGTTACGCTGAACAACCGGGAAGCATGTTGTAGCTGTTTAATCCTTATTGGGAGTGAGCAGCAGTGGGCATCTCCCTCCCGCAGGGTCTGACGAACCGGCGACCTTCCAGCCAGTGTTCGAATACTTAACCCGTCAAACACAAGAGGCTGATCGGTAGTGTGATTGGCTTTCACTTAGAGAGCACACAGAGTCATTGATCGTTCAATCACGGAAAAACACATAATGTGGCCATGTGTTGACTGGCTCCTCGAGTGTAAGTTTCTCAAATGGAAGCTTCAGCCATCGTGTAATTACATACTTCTTCCGAGTTTCTTTGGAAGATTCATATAGATTTGAGTTCATATAGTATTATATCACAGGAGGGTATTGAGCACAAAATACCCAAAGCTATTGTTTGGTTATCCGAAAGTTGAAACAAGCTAGGCTTGGATATCTGAACAACTGGACTAGCTGCATTGTTGAAATTCGTCTATGGAACCTGAATTCCTCCATAAGCTTTTTCCAATCCCAACCATCGCCTCTCAAAGGCAACGAAATACATATACCATCTAGAAAAATGCACTAATTTTCATAAGATTCCGGTTTTTCACATGTGGCTCAAATGAATCTCTCCGTGACAGTTTGCGACTGATCATTCCACCGTATTTCATCACGTGAATTTTGTCCTCTGTTTCACCTTTCCGCACTGTTGCTCTAGTGTCAGCTTTTTCATTTCCTTCTGCGCGCCGGTGAGAGATAATGACACAATGGGACTAATTAATCAGGCGAATCAGGTTGCGCAATCTTAAGATGGATTCAATTAGGAGAAAGCCAGTAAACCCATCACTAGTACTCAGATAAACGAAGCATGAAACGATACATACCACTGGTGAATCAGTGCGTAATACTCTGTTCCCGGACACCATATACAGAAAACTCGTTAAGGATTTGACGATCTAGGGCAATCATCATCAACAACATCGTCATCGACAGCAACAACAAGACTGATGCTCTACTGGCGCACATGTATGTCATTCTCTTTGTAATGGAAAGAGAAAGAATAGCGGGACAGTACAAAAAACTTGGGCTAGCCTACAGCGAACACATGGAGTGCGTACGGATGCGACACTCAATCGGACAATCTGGATAGGACACGACAGCATGATCGTCACTGACATTCCTGAGCCTACGAGTATCACTTACTTTTGAAGAGCATTGTCACAAACATAAAAAGTGAATAAGAAAGGGTAACAAGAAAATGAGAGAAAATGGAGAAACGTCTCAGTTAAATTCATGCAACCAACAGGTCGACGCAGATGAGATGAGTCCAAAGGTATGTAAACATTGGGAAGGAAACACGTGTCTGAAGACCAACAACCGAAGAAAGGACAAACCATGTCGAATGCTCTTCAAGGCGCGAGGGCGCTATCACAGTGAAGACTCGCGCATCAGACTGGGTCTGTTGTGAGATTAGGGGGCAAAAATACACATTCAACGCCATGCTTTACGCATAAAATTTCATAAGTACTCAAAGAGCCCACAATGGTAAGCAAACATGGGATACCAATTCCCCCAAGCTGTTTACCGACGTGGATGTAGCTGATCGGGGTGTTTTTCTTTAGAAGTAGCCAGCCAGGAGTAGATTGCCCGATGTAGTTATCCAAAATTTTGAGCGTGTTTCGGTGAACTTGGCCGAGCACGAGTGAATATGTCAGCCTCGGTATCAGGTAGTTCTTCGTGATCTCCATTATTTGATGCGGCTTCTACGGGGCACGCGGCACTTCTTCGCGCAGTTTGAGCAGGTGCTGCCGGTTGGTGTTGGCACCTTTCCCAGTGGAATTAAAGGGAATGCTCAAATAGGTTCTGGTGTCTGTCGGACCCAGACGAGTGATGAGTTCCTCGGCGAAGCTAAATGGCCCGATTGAGGCGGCTGTTGCCCGATGTTTCCTGTCTCACAAATAACCATCCCTTTCGTTTTTTCGGGCAATCATTTCCATGCCATCTCTTTCCGACTCGAACGGTGCAGCTTCAGGCTTCTCTTCAAGGCATGCCTGACTTTCTGCACACACGACCCAGTCATCAGCAAAGGCGAAACCATCTACCAAGGTATCATGAAACTGGTATCCCAGTAGCGGCATCGACAATCCAAGAAACTCATCCATAGCCATAATGAATAATAATGGGGAGAGTGGATCCCCTTGCCTCACACCTCTGTGGCAGTGAAGCTCGGAACTAGGGAAAACTGCTACAGCATTCTCATAGGAGTGTGCGATGTACCGAATTAGAAGTGGAAGTACTCCAAACGCCTCGGCTGATCTGACGATTTTGTCATGCGAAACCGAATCAAATACTTTCCAGATGTCAATAAACGCCAAGCTGAGTTTTGAAACAGTCGCAGAAAAGTGACAAGGCAGGGCATACAACAGCGATGTCGCTTCCAAACAGCCGCCTGGATGCAGAAATGCAAACTGAAATGAGGGTAGTTGCAATCTACGACTCCAGCGATCAGCCAGCACCTTATGGAAGCAACGTACACGAATGGATGACACAGAGATTGTTTAATGTGCGAATGAGAGTATTTTATCTCTCAGGAAGGTCCGATTCCTGAAGATGACCCTGGGAATGTCGGAACCCACTGACACCCTGAAACTCGACAAAATTCTGAAGGGGAGGGCTGGCAAGCATCCAGGCAAATCAGTCATTCAATCAATCCAGCAACAGCCAATGAGCGTTCATGCACGCCACAGAAGCACGACAGAATGTGATAATCGTACAGGCATCTCACAGAAGCACGATTAATTTTGATGGGTGTGCTCTTTAAATAGCGCGGATCCACTGTAGTTTTTTCACTAGCACGCGCTCGCTTTTTCGAAATAAGGGTGTTGTCTAGCCTTTCTAGCACCAGGCACAGGAAGAAAGACTGAAGACAGAAGAAGAAAGAAGAAGACTGAAAGGAGACAGAAAACTGAAGAAAGACTGCAGAAAGACTGTCTAGTAGGGAATGAATTTGTTCATTTGTACCAAGATAGATATCCGTGGAACCTGTGAGCCTGTGAACCTGTGAACTGCCACACCGCATATACTCCGTGGCGTTGATTCGCCTTCGATTTATTCGCCTGCGATTTTCTATCCGCCTTGCTTTAACTGAACATCAGAGTGTACGCCTCTCAAATGAAACCCATAAATGTAAAACCTGCAGTGATTAACTGAAGGTTTTTCAGCAATCTTATGGGTAGCAGGTCATTCCAAGAATAGTTGTGTAGCTTTCGTCGTGTAACAACCAAGTGACCAACTGGCCTGTTTTGTAGCTTGGCGTTTTATTGGTCAGTTCCTAAGCAGGAAGTCTTCCTCCCCTGATAATCGGTCTGTCCATTGTGCTGATTTCTGTGCGGTAGTGCGCATCCGGTGTATCCAAAATGTCTTCTTTGGAATACCTGGATAATGATTCTGGACTAGATGCATCTGGCTTGCAGTTGATCGCTTCCCGTCCCATGCGCATTAACATCGACCGTTCGATCAATGTGATAAAACAACATCAGCCTAAACTGTGCTACGAGAACGACTGCCCAAAACAGACACTTCCAAAAGACTCCTCACCAGTCTGGTTTTTATACAAACCGACGCCTTCCCAAGTATCTCATCTAAGCATCCGATGAAGTTTTAGAGGGCTGTATGAGATCTCCTCGAATGTCGACGAGGCCAAGTTTGATCATGTGTGTCTATCACGGCTAGAGTGATCACGAGAAACGTTAAAATTTGAGCAGTGTGTTTGAGTCGACAGACGACACAAAACTGTTCTAGCTGTGTCGGTCGACTGGCCTATTTATGTTCGTCCTGTGCTCATAAGGTCCACTGGTAAGTCATCTATGTGGAGGTGTCTTAAAGAGTTCACAAGATTTGAGACTCCAGACCTAAATGCTATTGGTTACTACCGAACGATCTTTGGACGTCTAGCTTGATAGAAAAACACAACCCGTGTTTCCTGACGATGGCAAAACACGACACGGAACAGCTGCACTTCATTTTATTTTGGTACAATCAGGCAACAAGCGGCGTGTCCCTCGGCAACAGATGCTGCTTACAGAGTCGATGAGGGTTTCAGCCTCGTATCCGGCTTTGCATAGCTCCATCAAATGAGTAGTATGATGCGCTACCTCTGGGACCTGAAGACAGATGGATAACAGGATTTCAGCTAAGTAGTCAGTCTAATAATGGAAGCGAATGATTCACCACACATACAAAAGATTATGAATCGTAAATTTTGAGCATCGGCCGTCTTTAGGCTCATCAGGTTCCAGGGTTCCCCAGAGTTTCCATCAATCGAATTTTCCACATGAACCCGACAGATTTTGTCAAATGCTCCTCTTGTAAACCTATTTGGTTTCGACAATGGACACAGGTGAACCGCCAATGATGGTTTGCTTCCACTGAATAATCATCTAGAACACAAGGCTGATGGCATCTCAGTAAGTGCACCTAACTGATGAGCCCCAAGTAAGGCGAAACTGGTCGTCAGTTGTTTAAACCTTTTCAGCAACCATATGTGTACTCCAGTTCCTGTAGCTAATCCCTATGCCTCAATAGCGAGGTATTTGAAATGGCAGCGGACGCCTATGATAAGATTCTGGTTTGGTTGCAACAGCCGTCGTTCGTGAAAGTCAAGGAGAAGAAACAAATGGAGACTGTTTAGGAATTCAGAAATCAGTCAGGTGGCATGGATTGTTGATAATCCAATGAAGTTTTATATGTTTGTCGTCCGTACAGGGAAGTGGCTCAGTACCTTAAGGTTAACAAACCTCCGCCATTAGATGAGATCGTATAAAAACAGACGAGTCAGTGGAAGGCCAGTGCCTTGCATTTGACTTGCTCTGTTCAGATTGGTTTTGCGAGTTCCACATATATTGGACGATTCTTGGAATCAACAATGGTATGGTATGCTTTTCGGGCAGATGTGATAAAGTGTTTTCGCGTGTTTGTTTTTGATCAAATCTAAATGGTGAAAGTACTTGAAGAATTTCTTCTCCACGGAAACAGCTTAGAAGAGCACAGTACCGGTAGTCCAGACTGTCGAACCCTAACGAGTCACATGGCGCAATACCGGGGCATCCGTGGCCTTCGAATCAAAATACTTGCAGGTAGAATCGAGCGAGTTTTGTACAAAACGCATTGGTCTCGTTGATCAAAAAGAGGGATATATACCTCACTATACAGAATAACCAGAGGAAAAGTCAACAAAGATTTGAAAATGATTGTCAAAACAAATGCACCTGGCAAGAGGGCTTACTATCTACAGCATTTGGCTGGAACCAGAAAACAATTTGACAACACTTATTGTTAGTAGGTGCTCTCTCAATGGAGATTGAAGGAATTGACTTCCTAGACTACTCATTATTAAGAAGAAACTACATAAAATCACTCGGTTGCCAGGGTAACGTCGATTAGTGTCGAAATTCATTCTTCTGTGTATTAATTTGGAGTACGTAGAACAGCACCAAATGTTTCAGGGGTTTTGCTGAATATCTGGATCGGGACCCTCACTCTCATGTGTAGTTTCGTGGCGTGAACACATCCAACCAAACTATATGATGCCACAACGATCCCGTTGTAGAATTAGGTAGCACCTTGAGTTTAGGAGGTGATAATTTCTGTGCTCTTTTCATGGTCAGTGGTGGATATAATATTCCGTCGAAGGGTGTAACATGAAACCGACGAATAATTACAATCGGTGAAACGCAGATCAGTTGGATTAATAGGTTTTCGATATCAGCTGGATTATCACTGACCATGCTAGAGTCAGTCATCAGAGGCTCGATGTGTTTGATTTACGATTGGCTCGCCCTGCTGTGTTTATGTAGATTGGTCGCAATTCAACTGAACACGTGCCTATCTATATTACTGACTGCCTGTCTGTTTACCTATCTATCTATCTATCTATCTATCTATCTATCTATCTATCTATCTATCTATCTATCTATCTATCTATCTATCTATCTATCTATCTATCTATCTATCTATCTATCTATCTATCTATCTATCTATCTATCTATCTATCTATCTATCTATCTATCTATCTATCTATCTATCTATCTATCTATCTATCTATCTATCTATCTATCTATCTATCTATCTATCTATCTATCTATCTATCTATCTATCTATCTATCTATCTATCTATCTATCTATCTATCTATCTATCTATCTATCTATCTATCTATCTATCTAGCAAACGAAATGGAAGGGTTTATCGGATTAATTATTACTTCCATTAAAAATTTATTTTAACCGAGATTATTGAGTCAGCTCTGAATTAGCAGGCTTTGTCGATATTACCTGTTAAGGTAGGGGTTTCTGCCACCGAAATGACATCTTATTAGACTGTCATTGGAATGTGAGGTGGCTACTTGTTTCCTCAAACATCCATGCCGTAAGAAATAACTGTTCCTGCATACAATCCAAAATATGGAATACTTCGCTGAACACATACCGCTATCGCCCCATCGTTCAGGTTCCTCAGTAGTTCAAAATGGCCTTGGAATTTTCCAACTGTGAAATTTCCTATCGCCTGAAATTAACAATAACAGACACCTGTCAGTTCATTATCAACCAAGATAGCGTCCTCTTCTATACACTGATAAAGCAATTATCTATGCAAACGTAATTTGACACCTCAATAATCAAGTGTTGGTGTTGAAACACCCCGTTGCTCAATGAACATCAGTTCCGAAACCGTCTCACAAACATCAGTGTACAGCACTAGTATTATCACATAAGTTTCCTCGTTCAGGTCCAAGGCCTCACCTTTCAGTCACGAAAAACCACATCACGTGGCCACGTATTGGCTGGCTCCTCGAGGGTCAAATTTTCGGAAGGAAATTTCAGTCATCATGTAAACCGATTCTTCCTCTGAGTTACTTGTAATCGATTCTTAAGAATTCGACTTCCTTTTGTACGTAGCACAGAAACTTATGAATCATAATGTACCCAAATCCATTGACTGACTATCCAAAAAGTGACACTGGCTGGGCTTGGATATCTAGATGCCTGGACTGGCAAACTTGCTGAAATTCGTCTGTGGATCGTGAAGTTCCCAATCGAGTATTTTCAACATCGAGCGTCACAAAACTGTCCTCCCGATAAATACACTATTTTCATAAGTGGTTGAGTTTTTACAATGTCCCAAATTAATCACTTACGTATTCCGAGTCTAAGAGACAGACACACGAGTATTCGTCCGCTGGACAAACATCAATTTCCTTGTCATAACAAAAAAGTGGCCAGGAGTTTTCACATTTGTTGGCTGATGTTGTCGCGTAGACTACAGTTTCAGGCGTGCAGACAACATATTGGTCAATA